AACTATGAGGAAGCTGAACGCCTCCTCTTTCCTCAGCAGTGATCTGTGGCAGTCTGCCATCATGTTTGGCTGCTCACACTGAATGTGACTCACTGTTGGGGTGTAGCTCAGGTGGTGGAGCAGGTCCTCTGCTATTCGGAAGGCTGGTGGTTCACTCCCTGCAGTGTGCATCCCAAATATCTTTCAGCAAGACACTAACTCCAAGTTGCTCTGTGATGCATCACAGTGTGGATGTCAGAGGGTGAGGAAAAAGTGCTGGGATTAATGAGTGAAGTTGTTTAAAGTGCTTTGAGTATAGAAAAGCCTTATATAAGAACCATTTATGGAAACTGACTGAGAGAAAAACTCAAAGGAGAAAAACAGAGAGAACTCTCATTTAAAGAGAAACTTGTGTGACAGAAAGAAATCGTCTAAGATGTTTTTCTCTATTCCAGTTTCGCATTCAAAGAATTTCTTTCTATGATTAAGAATTTATTATAAAATATTTTCATTTTAATAAAATATTGTTGAAGTTTGCAGAAGAATCACTTCATCTCAAAGCTCCACGTATAAATAATAAGACGTGTAAAACTTGATAAAATAATTCTGTTTTGTTAAAAACAGAAACTTTTTTTGCTGCTGCCACAAAGACCAGAGCACTGAAACATTCTGCTTTGTTCTTGTACATTATTGAACTCGTCTTCAGACTGATGCAGAGGCTGAAGTGTTTTGTGTTTCTTTCATTCTGCTGCTCTGGATTTTGACTCCACTGAACTTCTCTCAGTACTGATGATGATGATGTGCTGCCACCTGCTGGCAGGACATGTCACTGGTCAGTCTGTTGCTCTGTAAAGCTGATCATCTCCTCCCAGGTAATCATCCAAAGCCAGAGAAAGAAGAATGTAAATCCAAACATGTAACGTGTTTGTATGAACTGAATTAGACAATTCATTCCTTCATAAAACAAATAAAAGCCTGCGTGATTTAAACACTGATTAGGCAGAAATATCTCTGTAAACACGAACATGAACACAGAGCTGCAGAGAGACAGGAAGAGGTGAAAGCTGCGGCCCTGGTGTGGTCAGAGGGGTCACGGGTGTTTAGATGTCATCCAAGGAAAGATTTAATATTTCAATAATATAAATTACACAAGTTTGCAAAATACACACAGACAAAAGAGACGGTTTCAATAATATGAATACTTTATCTAAAAGATATGCAGTGCAATAAAACAAACACAACACACAAAAAGACTGCAGCACCATGTTGGCCACAAATCAGCATTAAATCAGAGAAAGTAAAGAGGCTGGATGGAGCAGTAACTCAGCAGGAACACAAAACACTTCAGCTTCACACTCAGAGCTGCACAGTAAAGGAAACATGGAGGGAGGAAACCACCAGCAGGGAGGCCACACCGCTGCTGGCTCGTCCTTCAGTAACCAAACACAGAAAGTAAAAAGTGCTCAACAGTCTCACATCACATAAAAAGATTTCGTCCAAAGCTAAAAGGACAAACATGTTCACCACAAACACTAAACACAGAGTTAAACAGTCACAGTGAGGCTGTGTCAGTTTCACCTCTGACACAACAATCACTCAGGAAACTGCAGAGCTGCACTTCCTGTGGCAGCTCGAATCACCACGATGACTCCGAGCAAACGTCCCTCACACAGAAGCTCGGTTCTGCTTCCTGTGTGATCGGATTATGTTCAGGATGAACTCTGTTCAGGAGCAAACA